CTGCCAACAGCCATGTTTGATGGGACAGGGTGAGTCGTGGCACAGCTGTGCACAGCTCCTTTCTGCACTCCTGCAGCCTGGTGCCCGCTCTTTGTGCAGGGCTGACAGTCAGCAGCTGGAGTATCAGGGTTTCTTTTCCCCCTAAAGCCTTCTCCTGTGCAGCAGATGAGCGACACCACGACATCCCATGGTGACCCACACCAGACCCAATTTGCTGTCACAGCATAAGGCACAGTGTCTTGCCATGACTGCCTTTGCTCTCTTGCATAGGGCTCCTGCAGCCATAATGTGCTGCATGGGATACGCTTTGGTCCTCTTGAGTTTTGCTGTCACAGGAAAAGCCATGTGTGTTTAGCCAAACGATGTGGACTCACACTCCTATCTACAATAAATACTTCTAAAATATATGAGCTATACTGAATCATACTGTGAATGTATTTATTTTTCTCTCAACAAAAGAAGACATCTCTCTGTGCTCAGTGGATGACTTGTACACCTAAGTTGCAGAATAAAGTGAAGGGGTGCTCTTCTACCCACATACGGAGATGCCCATTTGGACCTATATGGACAGATATCACTGCAGGGATGTCCTCGCATGTGTGTCATCAGTGAGTGCACTTCAGATGTGGTTTTGTTTTGATGACAAATAAACAGCTCTGAATTTGTGTTCCTGATGGCACCTCCATCTCATGCAGCCACACGTGGAATTTGATGGAGCAGACAGACAAACAACGAGGCACAAAGGGGTGGTGGTGTCGATCTGAAGAGATGTGAAGAGCCTTGCAAACAGACCTTGCCGAGAAGAAGTACACCAGCTCCTTCCTGTTTGGGATGGCTTCATTGAGAGCTGGCAGATCAGCAGGCTTTCCCCAGTGCTCTGCCTCTCTCAGAGAACCAACTGCATCGCCTCTCACTTGCTCAGCTTTTGACATCCAGTGGTGTTCAGTTGGATTGAGAGAGCTGCAAAAAACAAGGGAGAACAAGCAGTAGACTTGATCTGGCGGTGCCCATCATGGGAAATGCTGGGAGCATGGAAGGAGGGCATTTCAGCCAGAGCACAGCCACGCGAAGCTCCCAGGCTCCTGCCATCAGATGCACTTTTGGCTTGCATTTGCTCTCCAACAGCCTGCCCTCTCGCAACCATCACGTGCACGCTCAACATGGAAGGCTGTGCTTGGGCTGAACTCACCTTCACTCTGCCCATCTCATCCAGTTGGCATCTGGAGGGAGAACCTGAATTAGGGTCCAGCACACACAGCAGGCAGGGCTTCCCATTCCCCACAACAGTTGCCCCCATGGTCATGGCTTGCCATGGTAAAGGCATCAGCACTTCACACAGTGCCTAGAGGAGAAGGTGAAGAAGGGAGTACTTACAGAAATGGCTGGTGTAAGCAGAAGAGTCCTGAGCACTCAGCACCATGGAGAGGCATAGAGAGAGCAAAATGAAAGGTGAAAGGTCCTTAGCAACACTTCCACAACCCCCTGGTTCTGAGGTGTGTCTGTGCTGAGAAGAAGAGCACCACAGGGCCCCGCCATGCCCCCAACTCCCTCCTGCAAACCCCACAGCCAGCAGCTTGGTGCTCACCTTGGGCATCTCCCTCTGCAGGCACCTGCAAGAAGAACAGGGGCTGAGGTGCGCAGGCCAAGGTGCTGCCCAGCCCTTGCTCCCATCTCGGGGCTGGGGGAAAGGCTGAAGCTCCCCAGCTCCCTCAGCGGCCTCCCCAGCTGGGCTGCCCACAGCCATCACCCCCAGGCACCGTCTGACCCAGCTGCACACCCCCAGGTTCCCCCACTGCCTTTCCCTCTGCACCAGCCCCGCAGTAGGACCCCAGCCTCAGCCTTTCCCCCCTTCTTCCCCCACTCCCTCACCTTTCCTGATGGCAAACCAGCTGCCTGCAGCCAGGAGGATGAGGCCGACGGCTGCCACTGCTAGCACCATGCCTATGGGTGTAGGATCCGGTGGGGAGCTGGGGGAGAGAGGGTGTGAGGGCAGCGGGGTGTGATGGGGAGAGGCAGGGAACAGGACCTGCTGTGAAGCCGGCATACCCACATGGTGGTCCTCACCTGGGGAGCTGTGGATGTCCTGGGTGTCTCACCAGCAGTTGCACCTTGGTGTAAAGATTTTCCTTAGTAGGCCAAGACCTTGCACACCACCTCACCCATGCCCATGTCCCCACTGTTTGTCCTTGCTGAGCAAGCACCTTCCCATCTGGTATCTTAAACCAGCACCACTGTGGTCTCCCCTCTGTCTACCAGCCCACACAACTGTTCACATACAGTAGGCTATATGATCTCAGGACAGTTGCCCACTTCCCTACCTTAGGCTCATCATGTAAAGGGCAGATCTTGGAACATCCCTGGCTCAGACCAGAGTCCATTTCCCTTACTCTCTGTCCACTGCCATGTAGAAACCCATGTCTGCTGCAGAGGTACTGCTGCAGTAACCAGGGGACCCTTGAGAGCAGCTCTCTCTCTAGGGGCTCCCTTGGAGAGGGAACATTCCCATCAGGGAACCACCCCGGAGCCATGCCTGCCTGCTGCAGCACACAGCTCCAGCCTCATGGTGTCCTTGTCCCTTCTGCCTTCAACACTCCAGGCTGTGTCTCACCTGCCATGGACAGGGTCTGGGGAGCACTGAGAGCAGAGCTCCTCACCCAGTTGCTGTCATTCCTCTGCTGGTACCCACATGTGTACGTGCCAGCACTTCTTGAGGTGATGTTCAGGACCAGAGCATAGATGAGCCTGCCATTCTGGGCTTTCAGGCTGAACTCCTCCTGCCCATTCTTGCAGAAGACAATTCGCTTAGCAGGAAACTGCTCATCAATGGTACATTGAAGCAGCACTTTTTCCCCCTCCTGGGCACTGGAAGCGTTGAGGTACAGGACTGGCGTCTGGTCGTTACCTGGAGAGAAGGCACAGGGATTCCCCAGGCAAGCGTTAGTGACTGCCTGTGGCAAAACCAACTGCATGCCAAGGCTGAGGAGTCTACTCTCCTGGGGTTTCCAGGGGAAACTGTGTGTGAATAATTCACTTTGCTCTTTCCATCTCCTTCCCCAGGACACGTTCATTTTCGGACCACCTCCATTTTCCTGCAATCCTGGAGAGCTGCAGATGTCCTGGGTGGTCACTCCAGCACCTGCAGCATGGGGCAGACAGGGTTTTGCTTAGAGGGCAGTGATGCGGCTCACCCACAGCTCCCTGCACACATCCCCACTGCTTAGTCCTGCCTGAAAATGGACTTCCCACTTGTTGTTCTCCATCCAGAATCTACTTCATCTGCACACGTGGCACCATTCCAAGTCAATTCTGGATGGGTTTTATATTCTAGTTGGAGTCCCCATGCTTCTAAGGCATCCTGTAAGGCATCCTGAAAGTCTCACACAAAGGCTACAACAAACTTTTAGTAGTGGAGAAGTGTGCCCCTTGCTTAAATCACATCGTAGCTGGAGGAAGCAATCCCAATCTTGCCTTCCCCAAAATAACTCTGCCCCACAGTGTTGCACACCTGGCCCACGCATTTCCCCATCCTCCCCTGTGCCAACCACGGGCCTTTCCTGCCCCCAGCAGCAACCCTCAGCCCACCCCCGGCAATGTCCCAACTCACAGATCACCAGCAGCAGGATGGCAAGGCCAGAAGGAGACAGCCTTGCCCATGGCTGCCCCAGCATCTTTTGGGGTGCTGCTTTTGGGAGCAGCGTCTGCTTCAGGTGTCTGCTTTGCTGTAAGCTGGGGACGGTGGGGCAAAGGCTTGCAGTGCAGCTGGGACCTTTCCTGTGGGCTTGCTGTGGTTGCATGAGCCTTGCCCACACTAAGAGGCTCTCATCAGCAGGGCCCTGCCTCCCTGCCTCAGCCCCTGCTGTGTCTTTTTCATGTGTAGAGCCCCAACTTTTATTCACAGCTAGTCAAACACCGCAGCACAGGCTGCCTCTGTCTTTATCTCAGGGACAGTATCCTCCCTGCAAAACCCTACTGGACCTCGACTCCAACCAGCTTTAGCCCATTGACTGACAGCTCCCATGGCACCAGAAACATCACCAGCCTTTCAAAGCCCTTTAGCATTCTCTTTGCACGTGCTTGCTAATTGTAAATCAGCCCTGAACTGTTGTTCCTTTTACACGGCTACACAGCCTGAGCCCCTCTGCCTGCCAGCGACTCCATGGGGAGACCTGGTGCTGTAGCCTGTGTCCTGTGAAGAAGGGGACTCACTCACAACCCAGGCCTTGGGGTTTCTGGCAAAGAGGCAATGCCTCCTTTATCCAAACTGGTTCCTTTTCAGCCTTTCTCAGTGCACCTTTGTGCTGTACAACAAAATTAGGGGCGCAGTTCTGTGGGGGCTACCGTAACTCTAGGACTTGATGGGCATGGATCAGCTAGGGTGAGCAATTGCATTTTTCATTCCTCCTTTTTGGCCTTTTGTGTAATTTCTTTGCTTTTTTTTTTCCCCATAATATGTTCTAATTACATCAACCCAGGTGTTGTGGTTAAACCCAGCCAGCATCTTAATGCCACAGAGCCCTTCACTCACCCTCCCCCCTCCCTCTCTGGGAGGGGGAGAGAATTAGAAAGAAAAGCAAGCCTGTGGGTTGAGATACAGGCTCCTGTGGGGGCTCTCCATGGGCCACAGCCTTCTCCAGGACACATACCTGCTCCACCGGGGGCTCCTCCATGGGCTGCAGCGTGGAGATCTGCTCCATGTGGGACCCATGGGTGCGGGGACAGCCTGCTCCACCAGGAACCTCTCCACAGGCCGCAGGGGAACTTTGCTGCATGCCTGGAGCACCTCCGGCCCTCCTGCTGCACTGACCTTGGTGCCTGCAGGGCTGGTTCTCACTCCTCCCTCTACCACTTGTTGTGCAGATGGTTTCCTTACCTTCTTAAAATGTTCTCACAGATGTACAACAACATTGATTTTTGGCTCAGCTTTGGCCTGCAGCAGGTCCTTTTTTCACAGTCTGACACTGGCCCTTTTCAAATAGGGTGCAGCTTCTGGGCTTCTCAATGAGGCCACCTGTGCGGACCCCTGCTACCAAACCGTTGCAATGTAAATTCAATGCATCTGCAGAGTGCAGGCTAGAGTTTGCTTTCCCTTGGAAGGGCATCCAGTACACCTGCAATGGACAATGCCAGGGGTGCAAACACAGCCCTGCCATTTGCCATGGAGTAATGCAGATTACTGTGGAACAAGGGCAAGCTCCTGAGCACCTGCAGTGCATTGATGGCTTCCTCACATGGGACAGCAAAGCAGAGGAAGTCTTTGAGAAAGGGAAGAAAATCATCCAAATTCTCCTGAAAGCTGGTTTTTCCACTGGCCTGAGTAAGGTCAAGGGACCTGCCCAGGGAATGTTGAACGTGGGAGTAAAATGGCAGGATGCCACATCCCAATGAAAAAGGTCAATGAGGTAACAACTGTGTGCCCACCAGCTAAAAACCAGCAAAACAAGTTGTCATATTCTGGACAAGTGGGGTTGTAAGCAATAAATAACCCTTGGAAGAGATGAAAGTGGGTGTCCAAAAGGGTGTGGTGGAGGCTCTTAGTCCTGTGCATACAGGCCCAGCTGTGCCGCTAGTGCTTCACACTGCAGGTGGGGAAAATGGCCTGGCCAGGAGCCTTCGGCAGGAAAGAGCAGGAGAAAGTTGAGGTCATCCTCCGGCCTTCTGGAGCCAGGCTATTAAGGATCAGAAGCCCACGATGCTCCAAGTGTAAACAGAAGAGTGCCAGGGAGTCATGCCCAAAGGAAAATGGTGGGCCATGGGCCCAGAAACAAAGCATTCCTTGGGTCTAGCACATCCCAGGTCACGCAACAACCTCTGGAAAGATTGAGCCCTACCATGGAGTGTTAAAGGCTGGAATGAGGACATTGGGTGCAGAGGCATGGGAGCACTTGGCTGGACATTTTTGAGAAGCCACTTGGCCGCTTAACAGAAGAGCATCTGGCAAGTGGCCTGGTGCTACCCAAAGAAAGGCCCTACCTCCTGTGGGATGAAAGTCCCTGCAGTGCCCATTAATGGTGGGCAATGAACTGCATTAATCTGCCTTATGCAGAGTCTCTTTTGCCTGTTCTGGTCACTGGTGAGTGATCTCCCTGCCCTTATCTCAGTGCACAAGTCTTCTTCAACTAGAGTTTCTCGCCTATTCCTTTGAGGAAGGGAATTGAGAGAGCAGCGTGGGAGAGCTCAGGTGCCTTCAGGGTGAAGCCTCTGCCTTTCCTGGTTGTTGTGTGGTCGCATGGGGGTCAAAGTGTGGGTGCAGATGGCTCCCACAGTGCTGCACTGGCAGCAGTATGGCAACAGCTGAGACTCCCTGAGAGTTCTTCATAAGCTGATTCACCAACAGGATGAAGGAGAAATCTGCCCACAGCCTTGGCAACTTCCCCAGAGCACTGAAGTCACTTTGGCCTTTGTGCCGTCATCATTTGTGCAGACATTGAAGAAAAGCAGAGTGATATGGTCAGAAGAGAGCAAAGCCAAGTGGGGACAAGAGGCAGGAGGGCTTTGCAGGAAGGATGCTGCCCTTGAGATACTTGTTAAAACTGTGGTGTGTGAGAGGACAGAAATAACAGTTGGGGCTCAACAAAAGCAGCGGACGTAGCAGGTTTTAGGCAAGGCCCCCAGTGATGAGAGAGATGCTTAGTGTGGGCCAGGCTCACGTGGACAAAGAATGCCCACACAAAAGGTCCCAGCTGCACCGCAAGCTTCTGTCCCACTGTCCCCAGCTCAGAGTGAAGCAGAAACTCGAAGCAGACGGTGCTCCCCAAAAGCAGTGCCCCAAAAGATGCTGGGGCAGGCGCCATGGGCAAGGCTGTCTCCTTCTGTCCCTGCCGTCCTGCTGCTGGCACTCTGTGAGTTGGGGCATTGCTGTGGGGGCTGAGGGCTGGAGGGCTGCTGCTGGGGGTAGGACAGGCCAGTGGTGGGCAGAGGGGAGGATGGAGACAGTGTTTGTGCGCCAGGTGTGCAACACTGTGGGGCAGAGTTGCTTTGGAGAAAGCAGGATAGAGATTGCTTCCTTCAGCTCTGATACTGATCTTGCAAGGGGCACACTTCTCCAGCACCATAAATTGTCTGGAGTGTTGCTCTCAGACTCTAGGACTGCTGGCTTCTCTATGGAGCTATGGGACATACCTGGAACAAGAAATCCACACAAAATGGGATTGGGATTGGCATTGTTTGAGGGGATATTGAAGAGAGACATCATGAGAACATGCAGGCTGCTTAGCAGTGAGGATGTGAGCAGGGGCATCAGGATGAGTCAGGACACTGCTCCTCTCAGCAAATCCCTCTCTGCCCCTTGGTACAGGTGGCAGCATGACCTCCCAGGACATCTGCAGCTCCTCAGGTACTTGTGAGTCCTTCCCTCCCAGACCCAGGGCACTTGGAAGCCCAACCACTGTGAGCTCTGCCCTATGGAGCTCTGCCCTATGGCAGCCCTTCACTGCTGTGTCTCCTGCAGGGGATCTCCTGGCTCCTGCTCTCCAAATGAAACTCAAGTTCTGCTCAGCCAGGTACCACAGTTTTGCTCCAGTGTATTCTCCCTGTGGTGTCATCCGTAATAAGAATCATCATCTGCAAGGATGGCAAGCAGCTGTACAGCGATAAAGCCCATCAAGAGCAGCTGAGCTACTCTGTGGTCTTGAACATCACGTCAAGAAGCGCAGGAAGATATACATGTGGGTACCAGCAGAGGAATGAGATGAAACAGAGGAGGAGCTCTGCCCTCAGTGCTGGCCGCATCCTGAATGTCCCAGGTGAGACATGTCCCCAGGCTGGAGGGGTGAGAAGGGATGGAGGCACTTGCCCACCACATGGCTGTGCTGAGTCTGGAGCTGTGTGCTGCAGCAGGCTTTGGGTGGTTCCCTCACGGGAGTGTTCCCTCTCCTCAGAGGCAGCCCCTACAGAGAGAGAGCAGCTCCCAATTGGTCCCTCTATTCCTGCAGCAGCACCTCTGCTGCAGAGATGGAGCATATGGCATGCTTCAACATCTGCCCTGTGAATTGATGAGCCTATGGCAGGAGAAATGTGGAGATTGTCATGATCTGGGCAGTTACCTATGTGTGAAGAAGAAGTCTACATTTATGGCTCTGAAAATGGGTCTGGAGCTCTTGGGTGAGAACAGGGACATACTGGAGTTCTTAGGTATTTGGAGACCTCTCTGTGGAACATCGAACCAGATGAAAGGGACATGGTATCGATCCAAGGGAGAAGACCACAGGGGTGCTGGACTGAGATGTAGGGGTGACAAGGTGCCTGCCTGGCAAGGACACAGCAGTGAGGACATGGCAAGGACCCAGCAGCAGGGACATGGGCACAAGCGTGTGGCTGCCCAGCTCTCACTCCCTCTAAAAAAAACCCTCTGTGTCCCAAGGGGCAGGTGCTGGCCTGACCACCCTGGACATCTACAGCTCCCCAGGTGAGGTTGAGCATGGGGATGGGTGACTGAAGAGAGGTGTGTGTGGGGTGGTGATGGCAAGGGAGAGGGAATTTGTTCTCTGGGCGAGAGCTCCTGGGAAGGAATCACTTCCCTGCATGGAACACAAAGCATTTTGTGTCCAGTTTTGGGATTCCCTGTTCAGGAGGGGCATAGAACTACTGGAGAGAGTCCAGAGGATGACTTCGGAGATGGTCAGAGGACCGGAGCCAAGAGAACTGAGCCTGTTTAGCCTGGAAGAGAGGAGACTGAGGGGAGACCTCATCCATGTCTATAAATATCTGAGGGGAGGGTGTTGAGAGGATGGAGCTAGTCTCTTTTCGATTGTGCCCAGGGAAAGAGCGAGAGGCAACGGGCTCAAATTGCAGTACAGAAATTCCATCTGAATATGAGGGGCATTTCTTTACTGGGAGGGTGGCAGAGCACTGGAACAGGCTGCCCAGAGACGCTGTGGAGATACTCCTCTGGAGATATTCCAAATCCACCTGGATGCCATTCTGTGCAGTCTGTCCTAGATGATCCTGCTCAGCAGAAGGCTGGACTACAGAGGTCCCTTCTATCCTTGGCCATTTTGTAGTTGTGTGATCCTCTAGCCCCCAGAATCACAGAAATGTGAGAGTGGTGTTGCCATATTTAATCGGCAGGCACTCCTAACGAAGCTATACTTAACCACTCATGAGGGAACTTAGACAGAAGATCCATGGGGGTCTATGTTGGCACAACAGCCGCGGGCATTTTATGCCTCCCCTGGGGATGGTGCTGGCTGTCGATGGAGAAATGTTCCCATGGGGCTGAGGCTCATTCTGGGAAGGATCTGGGTGCACTGTAGACACTAAGCCTGTCCTTTTGTCCTGCCAGGCAATGTGGCGAGTTCCCCAGCAAGTCCATCACCCCCAGGTGAGTAATTTTCTCCTGTACCCTCAGAACCCCCCAGCATGGGGAGTGGGTGTGCTGTGCTGCCTTCCCCAGGACATGGGGACAAGAAGGAGGTTTACCAGACAGGAGGTGAGCCAGCTGCTTGGGCATATCTACTCCCTGCCTCTCCCCATCACACCCCGCTGCCCTCACACCCCTCTCTCCCCCAGCTCCCCATGCCCGGATCCTACACACCCTCCCCATAGGCATGGTGGTAGCAGTGGCAGCCGTCGGCCCTCATCCTCCTGGCTGCAGGCAGCTGGTTTGCCATCAGGAAAGGTGAGGGAGTGGGGGAAGAAGGGGGGAAAGGCTGAGGCTGTGGGGGTCCTACTGCAGGGCTGGTGCAGTGGGAAAGTTGGTTGGGGGAACCTGGGGGTACACAGCTGGGGCAGACAGTGCCTGGAGGTGATGGCTGTGGGCAGCCCAGCTGGGGAGGCTGCTGAGGGAGCTGGGGAGCTTCAGCCTTCATCCCCCAGCCCCAAGATGGGAGCCAGGGCTGGGCAGCACCTTGGCCTGTGCACCTCAACTCCTGTTCTTCTTGCAGGTGCCTGCAGAGGGAGATGCCCAAGGTGAGCACCAAGGGCTCCTGGCTGTGAGGCATGGGGGGAGGGAGTTGAGGGCATGGTGGGGCCCTGAGGTGCTCCTTGTTCAGGGGCATCTCCTGTGCAGAAGGCAGGAAGGATGGGGCTTGTCTTGGGCTGCCTCCAGTTCCATGCCAAATGTAGGGAAAGCAACACTAAAGGGCATAAAACCTCCAGACCCCTCCTCAGCACACGCACATCCCAGAACCATTCCATTCCTCTCCAGGCAACAGCACGTTGACAGCCCACAGATGGAAACAACTGACTCTGGAGAAGTCACATGTGAGTACTACCTCCTCCCACATGGGAAGCCACATGCCCATCTCACCATGGGCATCCAGTGCAACTGTACATGCAATCCCACCCCTTCATTTCCCACTGGGGAAATACAAAATCCCTGCCCGTTCATCAAGAGCAAGTTTCTCTCCAGCACCTCACATCCTCCTTCTTCCTTGCATGCAGAGTGTGCGAGGCTGCTGGCTACACAAGGGACATGGAAGCATCCCAGTGCTCCCAGGGACAAGCCCCCTTTCCTTGGGGGGTCCTTCAACACCTGTTGCAGCCCCAGGCTTCAATTCCCCCCACTCCAGCCTCTGCTTTTGTCTTTTCTTCAGTTTCTCTTCAGAGGCATTTCTGCTTCAAGAGCAGGCCAAAGCATTGCACAGCAATGAAGACATGGCTCCTTGCACTGGTGGAAAAATATCTTATAGATCGCTCTGAAACCACAAGCTGCAGCAAAGAGAGGATGTTGTGGTTGGGTGACAGGCTATAGAATATATCCCCACTCTACGTACACTTAGCACAAGTTGCAGCATTACCTTCTTTTCTGAAGCCTGCATAGAGCAGTTTGCAAGGTGTTGCTGGCTGTGCAAGAGAGGAGATGCCACAGAATTGTGAAAATACAAAAAAACATAGCATCTCTGCTCCACTGCTGATTAATGCACGTCCAGATCAGAGTGAAGGGAGAGGAAATGTGGCCAGGCATTGAGTGCTGAGCCCAGGAGCTGATGCCCAACGCCAGGGTGTAGTTCCAACATTCACCAACAGGCAGAAAGGGCTCATGGGTGTTTTTTTTTTGCCCCCCACAGACTCCACCATCGTCCACGTTCGATGGGACAGGGTGAGTTGTGGCACAGCTGTGCACAGCTCCTTTCTGCAGTTCTGCAGCCTGGTGCACGCTCATTGTGCAGGGCTCACAGTCAGCAGCTGAAGTAACAGGGCTTTCTTTTCCCACTAAAGCCTTGTCCCATGCAGCAGATGAGCGACACCACGACGTATGCCATGGTGACCACCACGCAGACCCGATAACGCTGCCACAGGGGGAAGGCACAGGGGCCTTGCCCTCAGCATGCCTTTACTCTTTTGTAGCGGGCTCTTGCAACCATAACGTGGGGCTGGAGGGTGCACTTTGGGCTTCTTTGGGGTTTCTGTCACAGGAAAGGGCTGTATGTGTGTAGCCAAGAGGTTGAAGGACTCATATCTCTGTTTGCAATAAATTAATACCTCTAAAATATATCAGGTGTACCAAGTAATATTGTGAGTGTAGCAATGGTTTTTCCTCATATTAAATCATCTCCCTGTGCTCACTGGAAATTATGTATTCCTAAACTGCATTATAAAGTCACAGGGCTGGTCTTCCATGCACCCACACATTTGGACCTGTAGGGACCGGTATCGCTGCAGGGATGTGCTCGCATGTGTCTGCCAATTGGTGTGTGCGCTGCAGATGTGGTTTTGTTTAGAAGAAAAATAAACATCTCTGGACATCCATAAATCCACAGGTCATGATGGGATGCTCCCGTGCGTGCTTAGGGAGTTGGTGGAAGTCATTGCTAGGCCATTATCCATTATCTGTGGAAAGTAATGGGCATCAGGAAAGTTGCCTGAGCACGGGAGGAAAGCAAATTTTACTCCAGTCTTCAAAAAGGGAAAGAAGGATGACCCAGGTAGCTATAGACCAGTCAACCTCACCTCCATCCCTGCAAAGCTAATGGAACAACTTAGCCTTGGCGTTGTCTCCAGGCATATCAAGGACAAAAGTGTCAATAGGGGCAGTCAACATGGCTTCACCAAGAGGAAGTCGTGCTTGACCGAACTGAGAGCCTTTTATGAGGATATAACTGGGGGGATAGATGATATTAAAGCAGGGGATGTGGTCTATCTTGATTTCAGTAAGCCTTTGACACCATCTCCCACAGCATCCTTGCAGCTAAACTGAAGAAGTGTGGTCTGGATGATTGGTTAGTGAGGTGGACTGTGATTTCATAGAATCATAGAATATCCTGAGTTGAAGGGACCCTTAAGGATCATCAAGTCCAACTCTTGACACCTGCACAGGTCTACCCAAAAGTTCAGACCATGTGACTAAGTGCACAGTCCAATCTCTTCTTAAATTCAGTCAGGCTCGGTGCAGTGACCACTTCCCTGGGGAGCCTGTTCCAGTGTGCAACCACTCCTCTGTGAAGAACTCCCTCCTGATGTCAAGCCTAAACTTCCCCTGCCTCAGCTTAACCCCGTTCCCGCGGCTCCTGTCGCTGGTGTTAATGGAGAAAAGGTCTCCTGCCTCTCGACACCCCCTTACGAGGAAGTTGTAGACTGCAATGAGGTCTCCCCTCAGCCTCCTCTTCTCCAGGCTGAACAGGCCCAATGCCCTCAGCCGTTCCTCGTACGTCTTCCCCTCCAGGCCTTTCACCATCTTCGTAGCCCTCCTCTGGACACTCTCTAACAGTTTCATGTCCTTTTTATACTGTGGTGCTGTATTTGTCTGAAGGGAAGAGCCAGAAGGTTGTGGTCAATGGGGTGGAGTCCAAGTTGGAGGCCTGTATCTGGTGGAGTCCCTCAAGGGTCAGTACTGGAACCAGTACTAGTCAATATGTTCATCAATGACTTGGATGAGGGAATGGAGTGCACTGTCACCAAGTTTTGCTGATGACACTAAACTGGGAGAAGTGGCTGACACAGTGGAAGGCTGTGCTGCCATCCCACGAGACCTAGACAGGATGGAGAATTGGATGGGGAGAAACATAATGAATATAATGAGGGCAAGTGTAGCGTCCTTCATCTGGACAAGAGCAACCCCAGAGACACAGGTAGAAGTTAGGGACTGACCAGTTGGAGAGCAGTGCAGGAGAAGGGACCTGGGGTTCCTGCTGAACAGAGGGATGACCATGAGCCAGTACCATGCCTTTGTGCCAAGAAGGCTAATGGCATCCTGAGGTGTATCAGAAGGGATGTGGTTAGTACATAGAGAGAGGTTCTTCTCCTGCTCTACTCTTCCCTGGTGAGACCACACCAGGACTATTGCAATCCAGTTCTGGCTCCACAGTTCAAGAAGGACAGGGAACTGCTTGAGAGAGTCCAGCACTGAGCCACAAAGATGATGAAGGGAGTGGAACATCTCCCTTACAAGGAAAACCTGAGGGATCTGGGTCTCTTTAGCTTGGAGAAGAGGAGACTGAGGGGTGACCTTATTAATACTTAGAAATATGTGATGGGTGAGTGTCATGAGGACAGAGCCAAGCTATTCTCGGTGACATCTAATGATAGGACAAGGGGCAATGGGTGCAAGCTGGAACATAGGCTGTTTTACCCAAATAAGAGAAGAAACCTTTTCACAGTGAGGGTAACAGAGCACTGGAACAGGATGCCCAGGGGGTTGTGGTGTCTCCTTCTCTGGAGACATTCAAAACCGTCTGGACACATGCCCTGTGTGACCTGATGAAGGAGTTCCTGTTCCTGCAGGGGGATTGGACTAAATGATCCTTCAAGGTCCCATCCAATCCCTAATATTCTGTGATTCTGTGTTTCTGGGTCACTTTTTGAGTGCCACAGTAAGGACATCCTTTTTCCAACATTCACTCAGATCAATCAGTATCACACGCTTGTTCAAGGGTGAAGTCCCAAAGCACTGCAAGTGAGCATTGTTCTCCATCCCAACCCCGATTCTCTCACTCACCTTGCTATCCATAACCACTCCGCCTGGGCACATGTCCCTTACTTAGACTCAGAAATAGACTTTTAGCCTTTGGATAAACCCAGAAACACGTGCTGGAGAGAAGGGTGAAGGTGCCACTCCTTTTTTCCTCCTCCACTTGCCCCTTGGAGAAGACACGGTATATTTGTAGATGTTAATTGTCTCTAACAGAAAGTTCCCAAAAAGCAAGAAGGAGAGGATCACAGAGTCTATCTGCCATAGTAGACTCACGGCCACTGCTTTTATCAAAATTATCAACCCTTGCATCCCCAAGTGGGATGCCAAATAGAGCAGTTGTGCTTTAAATCCAGTGGGCAGGGGAAGCAGCACAGAGCCACTTACTCAGCCAAACCCCACTGGGATCAGGGCAAGAGAATCATGACGGCAAAATTTAGGAAATTCATGCGGTTGACATAAATGTGGTATATTAAGCAAAAATGGGGAAAAAAAAAAAAAAGTGATGAAAACAAAATTTCTCACTCTTAACTGACTCATGCCCATTAAGTCCCACAGTTATGGCAGGCCCTACAGAACTGCACCCCCACTTGTTCTTGTACAGCGCAAAGCAGTTTTTCCAGGGTGCACTAGGAAAATGGGAGAAAAGGCAGAGATTTGGGGAAGAGAACCAGTGTCTCCCTTGCCAGAAACCCCCAAGGCCTGGGTTGTGAGTGAGTCCCC